ATTTTTCTGATCACTTTCTTTGAAGTGCTGCCGAAATAGGCTGTTGCACAACAGTACCAGTTTTTCATGTTTCATCTGTCTTTTTGTATCACTTTCAAAGCCGATGTCTTGAGGGATTTCCATAAGACATCACATGCCTCAAAACTATCAGAATATCACCTGCGCAGAATTTCCTTTAATTATTTTTTTTATTTTTCATTTTGACCTTACTCTGCGTGAGCGTAATATTCCACAATTGCACACTGTTCATATTTTGTGACGTGCTGAATAAATTTACGCAACGGCAGCATATCCTGCTAGTTGATTAACAAGTAGATGTGACAATTTTCTGATGACACAAGTGCAAGTGCAGTCTGTCACAATTAGAGCAATGGCAGAAACTATATTTAGTCCACATTTTCACAAGATATCATCTGATATTTATTTAGTAAAAAAGCAGACAACAGCAAGTTATGACTTATATTAATACATAGGCCTGTGAGGATTAAGAACCCATATAAATGACTGAAGAATCAACTTCTATTTCCATATTTGCCAGTTGGGTATAGAGTCAAGACAACACCCACTCTATATATATTCTCCTTAGCTGAACTGCAGTGTCCTCCTTATATTAAACTATTATTTACTTAAAATGGTGAAAATAAACAAAATTTTGGGTAAACTTTTTTTTTTTCAACTTAGAAGACTTGCTGTATACACCTTATAATTCTNGTCTTCCACTTATGGTGTTAACGCTGAAAGTGCACGGCGACAGCGACGGCGACGGCGACATGATCGGCGACGACAGACGCAGGTGATGGCAATATGTACAGACACATCTGTGTCTGTACATAAAAAGGAATCGCACCAGGTTCAAAAATTACCCCCATGCATCCCTAGGCTATGTCCACACATATACAAGTTTCTATGGGTATGCTATATGGGTCCATTTATTCACAAGTGCTTTGCCAAAATGCATAATTTCACCTTCACTGCAAATATATGGGCATAAATATATATATGCTTAAATGTTGATATAGAAATCAACATATAAGGTCACACTAGTATGTTAAAGCTAAGTAAACTTATCCTCCATTCATATAGGTATACAAATAGATATATGGACAACCTGTATAAGCCTCGTGTATTATCCAACTGTGCCTGTTTTCTATTCTACACACACTCATGCACGTATTCGTGTTCGTATACACATCATAGTTCACATTAGTCAGTGAGATGTTAAGTCGTGTAAGTTTTTCCCAGCTCCACATGTGCTATGAATAACCATCTTGTGTAACCTTCTCAATCCTTGTGTTATACTATAACCATGCTTTTCCTCACATACCCACTGCATACTGTATATATACATGTACGTGTGTATATGCTCATCTTCCTATATGTACATTACCAGGTTGCAACTAACATGCAAAGTTTAAATTAAGTGCTTTCCCAATCCTTCAAGTGCAAGATGCAGAACTAATTTTTTTCACCACTCCCCAAGCTGGTCACAAAAAGGACAGCTTAAATTAAGCTGAAAGAAATAAAGAACTTGAAAAAAAAAAGAAAAGAAAAAAGTTCACAAGCGTGTAGGTCAAGCTAAACACACTGACAAGTTGGCTGGGAGAAAATTATCTGCTTTCTACATGTGTGTATAAAAGAGTAATCTATATAAGCTGTGTGTTCCGTAGACATGCTTGTGCTCACGTCGTCTGCTGTGTGCATGTGCACATGTTGATCTACAACGTGGTGTGTGTATGTGCATCACTGATAACAGGCATGGTTACGATATCTCCCCCATCCCTCTCCCTCTCTCTCTCTCTCTCTGAAAAGCCATCAACTTGAACCCAGCCAGATAGATATATATAAATTATAAATGTACTCCATATTGTCTGGTAAATAAAAAGAATAAGAAAGAACAGGCCACTTTTGGTAAATGGTCTTTCCAAGCACTTGCCACATCTTAAATGCACAACCACTTTACTTATAAATTTATACATATATATTTACCAGGTCAGAGTCAAATCAAAAATGCACAAATATCCAAAAGTTTAATTTAAGATAACACCAATTAAAAAATAAATTACGAAAATAATCAAAGCCCAGAAATACACAATCAGTAACGCAAATATTAGAAGGGCTTAGGCTAATGTAGTCTGATGTCTTAATTTAGCTGAGGCACAAGACTGACAAAATGGACACAATAGCTGAAAGGGTAATCTGTACCATTCTGTAAAAATGGCCACTGGAGGGTGTAATAATTCTAAATTCCACCATAAAGCCTGAAAATATTTCATGATAGATGTTTACAAGCAGACCAAATGGGAGCAGTGGTTTATCACTTTTATCAAGTCCATCTGTAAACACTGTCACATGGTAAACATGACAAACCAAGTTAATGACTTCACCAACCAGGATTCCCTTTTAATATTCCTTCATATTTATCTCAAATGATTACCCAACTGGTATGATATCAAACACTTTGGGCATAAAGATGAAAGCGTTTATCTATGAAATTGAAAAAATGGCAATATCAGCTGTATCAAGAATGTCGTTCTTGGCTGCATGCAATAACGCAAGGAACCCTTATTACCAAACTAAAATTGGTAACTTATGATTAACCAGGCATGTCATGGAACTGTCAAGACATTCAAACCTGGTTTATCCTTAACTGGAATAGTCCAACTGACAACCCTAATGAGAGTCATCCACCAAAGTCTTGTCAAGTGAGATTTTGCAAGATTTCAGAGAGAGAGAGAGAGAGAGAGAGAGAGAGAGAGAAAGAGAGAGCGAGAGAGGAGGGGAGAAGAAAGGGTAAAGGATCTGAAAATCAGTCAGGCGATCTCTAGTTTATGTTGGACCAGATAATTTTTTAACTGAGTCAATGATAAATTTTGAAATGTTCAATGTCTGAGTCCTGATACAACCCCATACATATAGCGTCACACATTTGCTATAACAGTTCACTTGTCACAAAGGATATTGCCTCGTATAAAGCAGGTCTTCCTACTCCGACCACAGAAACCTTTACATTAGAGTTACTTTCACTTGTGACATGAAACATTCATATTATTCTGCATCTCAACTACACAGTGCAAATTGCGGAAAGCAGATTATGTTCCCAGTGACTTTTAAATCTATAATATTTACAGACTTTTGTCACACCCTTTCTGAATTGTCACAAATATTGTGAATTTTTCGAGATGCCCCAAAGTTTTGCCACTGAGCCATAAATCTGGTGATATGACACAGAATATGAACAGCAATGAGGCAAACTATAACCTGTGAGGTGGGACAATGAATACAGTTAGTATTTATCCATGGATATTTTTCTGATCACTTTCTTTGAAGTGCTGCCGAAATAGGCTGTTGCACAACAGTACCAGTTTTTCATGTTTCATCTGTCTTTTTGTATCACTTTCAAAGCCGATGTCTTGAGGGATTTCCATAAGACATCACATGCCTCAAAACTATCAGAATATCACCTGCGCAGAATTTCCTTTAATTATTTTTTTATTTTTCATTTTGACCTTACTCTGCATGAGCGTAATATTCCACAATTGCACACTGTTCATATTTTGTGACGTGCTGAATAAATTTACGCAACGGCAGCATATCCTGCTAGTTGATTAACAAGTAGATGTGACAATTTTTTGACGACACAAGTGCAAGTGCAGTCTGTCACATTTAGAGCAATGGCAGAAACTATATTTAGTCCACATTTTCACAAGATATCATCTGATATTTATTTAATAAAAAAGCAGACAACAGCAAGTTATGACTTATATTAATACATAGGCCTGTGAGGATTAAGAACCCATATAAATGACTGAAGAATCAACTTCTATTTCCATATTTGCCAGTTGGGTATAGAGTCAAGACAACACCCACTCTATATATATTCTCCTTAGCTGAACTGCAGTGTCCTCCTTATATTAAACTATTATTTACTTAAAATGGTGAAAATAAACAAAAGTTTGGGTAAACTTTTTTTTTCAACTTAGAAGACTTGTTGTATACACCTGCCCTTCGTTTGACTTCACAAAAAAAGCTGTACGAGGTCAATGTTATGTTTCCTTCAGGGGTAGAATCAAGAAGAATCAGTGTGTGCCATTAATGTTCTAACACTTACACCTCAAAAATAACATTACAATGTAGAAAACAACTGCTAAAAATTATTCATAAAATATCAAGTTAAAGAAAGAGGAGAAATTGGAAGGATAGGTTTGTGACAATAATAGTATGTGCCCTGAAGACATTCTGACTCAGCAATATGTTCATGACAACAAATACTGTTTCAACTTTTTTACAATGCTACAGTGTTTATCAACATCATACAGGTTCACATGATCGTTCATATATCTGTCATGACTGTGTGTTATTCTGGAATCAGTGCTATCTCCATATACATGCATGCAACCTGGCAATTTCTAATGAACATACGTCACTCAATCAATCAATTGCTGTTCCGTACCAAGACCTTGCAAGCATCCACATCTGTCTCGGTGAATATTCCACACTGTCACGATCAGGAGTTTCGATAAAATTTATGAAAATTACAACTGTATGAGATGGTGTCACATGTTCAATGTTACACAATGTAGTAATTAGCAAGTTAAAATTGGTAAAAAAGCCCCTTTGCAAGTCAAATTAATTACGATAAGACAGAAGAAATTTGACATTGAATAAAAATACCAATCCAATATCGTTACTCAAATCCTGAAGTAAAACAATTAATTACGAAAAGAGGTGAAATTCTCGAATCTACCGACATGTTTTTTTCTTACCTTCCACACCTCGACGTGGTTTCGAGTTATAATGGGCATTTAATCTTAACAATCGGGTATAAATCCGAAAGATAGTGAAAGAGTAAACAAAATTCTAAGGGGGGTCTCTCAGGATTTGCCACCAAATGGAAAATTAAGAGAATTTGATGCAAAATTTTATGTGACCTGCAACCATACAAAGGGAAAATGGCGGACGTGTCATTCGAGCCGGCGGCTCACTCCACACAAGTGGGTTACCTTTGTGACTGCTTGGCGACCCAGGGCTGCGTCTTTCTGGAGATAATCTGTTAACAGGGGATCGTCTGGACTTCACATTGTGTCCCTCGCTCATCCATGGGGAAGTTGGAGAGGAGCTAGGGCTTCCTTTTCTTCCATTTGATCGGGTTGGGCTACCTTGCATCAACGAATACGGCAGGGTAGCCTTCATGGGCCCTTGCTTTGTGGAGGGCGATGCATTTCTGCTCGGCCTAACCCGTTGTGGCGTTTGCCCAGACATTTTTGGTGAAGTACCCAGTTAGATGAATGCTTGGTTTATCTTTCAGTAAAATATCAGTCAATTTGGTTGCCTAAAATTCTTAGCAATAGGCCAAAAATTCGGCCTTCTTCTACGCGGCTTCCATCGGCTTTCTCGGCAATCTTCCAGCCGCAGAAATATTTCCCCTCAACACAGATATCACGTGATCAAAATCTTAACCTGTGATTGGCCAAATATCTTAATTTAATATGTTAATAAGGTAGGGATTCCCCTCCTTCTTGCCCTCATTGCGGTATTTCAGCTCGCTCATTGGATATTTTTGTTGATTTAACTGGAGAGTAAATAAGTAAACAATAGTTGGTCCATTGTGCGTGCGCTGCTTGTCAAAAATTGTTTACGGTCAAAGCAGTGACTTTCGGTAACGATGGTAAATAGACCGGACATTTTCTGTAAGGCGTTATCTTTACCTGTGAAATCTGACATCAGTAATTTATCTGGGGCGACATATATGTATAGAAAAAAAAAAACTCACAACTAGCCTCATTTGGTAAGTCTCATCTAATGCATTTTACCAGTTAGAATATAGATTTAAAAATAAATTTGATCACTTTAGAAATCTAGACAGGCAATTCTCAGATAAACTATAATTTTTTTTATCATGGCAAAAAAGAAAAGAAAAATATTTGAAGTAGAAATAAGTAACTTTGTTCCGGTGGTCTGAATAGTGATGAGGTCGCCCGTCGCTTTGCCTCATTTTGCGCCGTGTACAATTGCGACAGATGTGCTGATGTTCAACTACCACATTCTCTCTCCCGAGGCATATCCACGACTGTTTGAAGGGGGGCCGCGGATGCGAAGCCGCCCCCCCCCCCCCCCACCACACACACACACACACACACACACACACACACACACACACACACGTGGGGTTCGGGATCTGCAGTAATTTAAAGGGGCGACGGTGCCTTTTGATACGGTTTAGAACTATGATTCACCTAGTCAAAATTCTAATTTCAAGAGGACACCATTGGTGTGATTTTTTCAGAAATGGAAAGGGGGGGGGGTCGGGACCCCTCCGACCACCGCCCCCCTCCCCAAATCCGCCATTGACACTGATGTCATTGGTCACATTGTATCACACCGCGACTCACTTGAATCTCAAATATGTGTAATGATATTTATTCATTTATTCTGAAAGCAGATAACACAAATATTTCATACCGGGTTGACAACAATTCAGTTAGTTAATGAAATATGTCCGAATTGAAATTCACCAGTAAGTGTCTGTGAGGAACATTTATTAGCCTTTTCTGTTTCATAAAAGTATTGATAACTTTTAAGACAGTATCAAGGATGGATTTCAGTCCCTGTCAACCTGCAAAAAGGGGAAAGGGGGCAAAAGTGAAAAATTATACAAAATGCCCCACACTGCATTTCATTATCCTAAACCTTTTTACTTGGTAGACTAACTGAGTCCGCCTGCATAGCAGTGGGTATAATGATCTCCTGTAAGTTAATATTCATTTTTCATATGTATATATTATTAATGTTATTCGGTTTATAGTCTACACGAAAGGCAGAAAATGAATAAAAGATGCCTCACGTTTATCACTGGCCTGTTGTCGTAAGGGTGGTCATGCGGATTTACACGTGTTACACTTGTTATTTCTTTATCTTGAATATTATATAATTATGACACACGCTCGAAAACAAGCATAAGATGAGTTGTGTAATTTATTGAGAATTAATTCCGCGTTTTTATTTCAAGTATAAGAGTCGACCTAATATATCACATCCGCACGTGGTTTATTCAACTGGCCCCGGTATGCCCCGTTTAATTCTGTTTACTAAAAGTTTTAACAAGGCCTCCATCTCTAGGCGGCTTTTTTCATACCTACCAACAATAGTGCGAAACAATGCCATAAATTTTGTAGGGTACAGGTAAATTAGAATAAAGCATCAGTGCTTGAATGCATATAAACATAGCTAGAGGCGTTCTTGCTCCAGGACTAGATGTAGACTGCAGAAAATGCGTTTTTATGAGATGTATGAACAGAATTGTCCACAGAGTTCACTTAACGCAGACGCACATAGGGTGTGCACGGTGTTTAACTGCATTATTCAAGCTCTAGAATCGTGTTACTTGTTTTATGACTATTTGTTTCTGTGTCAGTCTTAGGAAAAACCTCAGTTTGTCAACGTTGGTATCACCGTCCATCTTTCAGACACTTCTCATGTAAGTGATATGAAATACACAGTTCGTTGTATTCATAAATTCAACTGCTGACCAACAAACAATGTCTAACTTTCTTTGAACTGAACACGGATACCGGATAAAAGCACTACCGTCCTAAAGGTAAATGTATAAATTGGAACAACAGACTGGATGAGTAACTTTGACGCATCAAAAGTGTAGTAAAACTACGTCCGCATCGACGTGGCATTACCATAACAGTAATACCAGAACTGGGAGCATAGATGAGACAGTTTGAAAGTTCAGACAATAACACAACTTGTGCTGCGCATTTGAAGCAGTGCTGTTGGGACATTGTGTTAGGTGTGACGGGAAAATAAGCAATTGTGTCAAGTTGAACTGGCTGGGACACTTCTCAAAGCGGGATAAGATGAGTTATTACATGACCTCTGGTTCCAGGGTCTTTTTCCACTACAACAGACGTTACAGAGTAGGCGTGTATTGCAAAACAATCTGTCTGTTTCTTTTAGCCTTCTTCTCCGTTCATTTTTACCTCTTTAAAAGCATGATGAACCAGGAGAATGTAAGCCGCGAGAAGTTCAGGATGGAGAGAGATGTTGGGCAAAGACTTGTAATAAACATGAAACAATTGTCAAGTGCTGCCATAAAAACTCCAAACGAGCCCTTTCTGGACATGTCAAACGATTCCCGTTACACGACTTCTTCTGGCACCATTTTAGGTTCGGCTGTTTTGACATTGGCTAGTCAAAAATCCACCAATGGAGATTTCACAGAATTTACCCAAGCGACGTCGACTCAAATACTTTCAAAAGAGTTACCGTCGCCACTACAATGGGACAGAATAAAAATGTTGAAAAGTAGTGGGTTCTATTCTTTCAACGCAACATCCAGCGATCTCAAACCTCTGAACAGACCCGTGCCGGACACAAGACCAGACGCGTGCAAGAAAGTCTATTACGACATTGATCGTCTGCTGAACGTCAGCGTCATCATCCCAAGTCACAACGAGGCTTGGTCGACGCTACTCAGGACATTTCACTCGGTGCTCAAGCGCACTCCAATACAACTCCTGGTAGAGATACTGATAATAGATGATGCGAGCACGTATCCATATTTACGCCAGCCACTGACGGACTATATCAGCAAGTTTCCGAAGGTGAAACTAGTGAGGATGCCAGAGAGGGTAGGACTGATCCGCGCCCGTCTCCATGGGGCAAAGTTGGCTCGTGGAAGCGTGCTGTTCTTCATGGATTCCCATACTGAAGTAAACCACGGCTGGATAGAGCCTGTTCTGGCCAGAATACAGGCCAAGAGGGATGCAGTGATAATCCCGACCATAGACATTATCAATTGGCAAACTTTCAGGTACACGTCCTCAAGGGGGATATTCCACGGGTACTTCAACTGGGACCTGATATTTGCATGGAAGAGAATCCCGGAGTCCGTTTTAAAAACGACTAAGTCCCCAATCGACCCCATCCCAACGCCGGCCATGGTAGGATGTGCCTATGGTATCGACAGGAAATATTTCTTCGAGCTCGGAGCGTATGACGAAGCGATGGAAATATGGGGTGGAGAAAACGTGGAGCATTCTCTCCGAATATGGATGTGCGGGGGTTCCCTCGAGACGCTCCCGTGTTCACGTGTTGGGCACGTGTTCAAACCCAAACTCCCGTACTCCTTTGCCGGTGATAACCCAATAAAAGTGATCATGCGAAATATGATTCGTGTCGCCGAGGTTTGGATGGACGAATACAAAGACATCTACTACGCCACGTTCACTGGAGATCTTGAGCCAGTGGATCTAGGAGCCCTGGATGAACGAAAAGCCCTCAGACGGGCTTTAAAGTGTAAGTCCTTTGATTGGTACTTGAAAACTGTCATGTCAGATGTCCCAGTACCTGTCAAAGGTGACCAGCAATTCGGGCATCTCTTGCACTACTGGTCAGATGATCTGTGTGTCCAATGCAATGGTCAAGGGGTGGATTTCACCATGACCGATTGTTCCGACCAACCAGCCAGTGCAAAAGGTTTTCATATCAACAAAATGGGTAAATTCATGTTTTACAGCATGTGCTTTTCCGTGAATAAACACGGAAAGCTTCATTTAGGACAATCATGTAATGAGTCAGATTCCGATTGGGTGTATGACGACTACCTTATCAAGAACACTGCACGAAATCTTTGCCTGACCCACCGCAGCCACCACGGTATATTCTTAGAGCAATGTAACTACCTTGACAAAGCCCAGAAATGGTCGTTTAAGTATAATTTTGACTGGCGCCCAAGGCCGTCTATAGAGAAAGTGGTGAAGTCATTTATGACCAAACCCTCAAGTGCTGTTCATTTTGGTCAACTAAAGAACATTGGCAGTGGAAATTGCCTGTGGTCGTCAAAAGGGGAAAGACCGTTAATAAAACACTGTAAAGGACAGCCTCTTTACGACCATATTATACACCTGGACAAGGACGGGACACTACGATTTAGAAATGTGTGTTTAATGATTCTTAAAGTTGATTCTAAACGATATTTCCACGCCATCATGGCGGATGCTACTAATAATACTGGCTGCACTGTTCTGAAGAGTGAGAACTCCCACTGTGTCGCAACTAACGCAATATCACAATGCACAACTCAGCTCGTTCATGTTGAATCCAGACTCTGCCTTCAAGAGAGCGTGGATGTCAACCACATCACTTTGGCTCCTTGCCAAAAAGAGTTCAAGTTTCAGATGTGGGAATTCCGCCATCAACTCAAACATGACAATAGAAACTTGAACAGCATCTAGTTTTTTAAAAAAAATATTTCAAAAATGTGACAGCTTTAACAACCGGATATGCTGGGGCATTTGAGATTAGGCCTATGGTGCACTTTTTTTTTATTTTGTAATAATACTATTTATCGCAGCATGAAAATTTAGCAGGCCTTTTTTTTTTTGTACAATACCTAAATCAGCCAGATAACT